CACGCATTCGCTCCGCGTTTCCTTCGTCTCTCGCCGCTCTCGGGTTGCGTCGTTAAGAATATATATATATGTGCGTGATTTATTCGTGTTTGGATCACATCCAGGGAAAAGAAGAAGAGGAAACTCTAATAGAAAAGATTAGATTTCAAATAAGAAGAATTGGAGGATTTCGATCGAATTATACGTGTGTGGAAAGATTATGAAGAGACGATGGTAATTATATTATTTATTAATGTATATTTCAAAATTTTAGAAATAAATTATTTTTAATTTTTTTTATATATATTATATATATATATTATTATTTTATATATTATTAATTTTTTTTTATTTATATTATATTTTTTTTTATAAATTATATTTTATTCTAATGTAAAATCATTATGTTATTTGAAAAAATAAAGCATTAAAATCAAATTGATTTTATTAACATCCTTTCCCAATATCCCTTTCCCTTGTCCAATTATTTCAAAAAAATGTAGAAAGAATGTACAAATATATGTATATTTTTTTATTTATATTTTATAAAATTGTAAATGTACAATATGATATAAAAAGAATTGTATCATATATATTTCAATAAAAACTATTTTTTAATAATTAAATGCGTTTATTATTTAAACCTTTTTTTTTTCACATCTTTTTTTTCCCTTACATCTCTTCCCAATATCCCTTTCCCTTCAAAAAAATGTAGAAAGAATGTACAAATTTGTGAAAAAAATTGTATCATATATAGTTCAATAAAAACTATTTTTTAATAATTAAATGCATTTGTCATTTAAACCTTCTTCTTCCACATCCCTTATATCCCTTATTTCTCCTATTCTATTTTATCTAATCCTTCTATTCCTACACTCTTATTCCTCAACTCCTCATCCATTTTATATGTATATACTGACCCTTAGAATTAATTAAATTGTTAAAAAATACATTTCTGAAAGGAGATGCCTCGAAAAAGAGAAATACAAGTTAAATATAAGGGTAAGAATTACAAGCTAAGTAAATTAATTATTTACAGATAAATTTCTGACCAAAATTTCTATCTAGTTTAAAAAATTTAAAAAATATAAAAATTTGATGTCATTTCCAAGAACTGCTAAAATTCTTGGAAAAATTTGGCGAACGACCTCCTATCAAGTTATGTTCTCCTAATACAAAGTGGTATTTTCGGCCAAAAATTTTGCTGGACTTCAGGCTTTCGTGAACGACCTCCTATCAAGTTATGTTCTCCTAATACAAAGTGGTATTTTCGGCCAAAAATTTTGCTGGACTTCAGGA